GACTTATTATAGCGATTCGCTGTCGGAAATTTTTAAAAATATTGGTCACTGACTCAGCATTAAAACAATATTGGTCAATTTTATTCATTTCGTATAAAAAACATTTGATTAAAATTGACAAACTTCTGCAGTCACGATTGTTTCGTCCCATACGATTAAACGATCCTTACATAAAACTGAGTAGATCAGCACCAAAAAAAATTTTGATCAATTTTACATATTTTTATGGTCAACTCAAGCTTGACCAAAAAAAAATTGACTATGCCAAAATTGTTTTCACATGTTTTTTATGGTTTCAAATTTCCCCATACTGTCCCAACAAAAAAAAACACTGCGTATATACGTCTACCCACATAAACATGTATATATATTGCGTTCCGGTTTTGTAGGGTAAGGGGGCTGGTGAAATTACAGACACATGGGACTTATCAACTTATGTCACAAGGTGACAGGCGCCGTGGCGGTTCCCCTCAGATCTTTGCGATTTAAAGCTCTGAGTGGTACAAGTGTTATGGACAAGCGTGTAGCTTATTATATAAAAAGCTCACAGCCATTGGAATACGAGTGAAGTCCCCAACTCGCAATGGGCCAGGGTGGCGGTCTACAGTCTAAACCAATTTCAAAGGAGACTCGTGATAATGATCAATGTGCATAATATGCAGATAGCGAGCTAATGTTTGTGCAAGGCTTTACCTCAAGCCTTTGTGTGCTTTTCGCAATGGCGACTTGTAATATGTAAGTATTAAGTTTAGTCTAAATCAATATTGCAACGTGTTTATTTTCTAAATTTACTCAACTACTTATGTAGGGGTTAACGTATTACATTGCATCTACATTATCGTTCTACAGTTCTTGAAATAAATAGATTAGTTTTTCACTTCTCATTCTCGAGAAGTACGTCAATATAGCCTTACATATCTGGTAAAAGTACCTAGTTTTTTAAATTTACTTCAAATGACCTGGACAAACTTAAACAGCCAGTACTGTCTGTATTTGTCAGCCAGTATTTGACTTATATGTTACATTTTTTTTATAATATGATCACATGACATTGGCGAAATCGCCATTTTTTTGTATAATTTTTATAATAATACTAAACTACCGTACATAGTTATTTTTACTTGACATTGGCAAAATCATTGATTATTTCGATGGGGCCATAACATTTAAAAGAAGATAATATCAAATGACAGAACAAATAAGTCGTGCGCCTGGTGGTAAGCGACACGCCTGTCCATAACAGTTGCAAAGCCGCTCAGAGTTTTAAGTCGCAATGATCTCAAGGGCACTGCCACTACGCCCGTCACCCTGAGATATAATAAGATAACCCCATGTACTTGTAATTTCACTAGCACCCTTATCCTTCCAAACCAGAACACAGTAAAGCTCACTTTGCACATACTGCTTGGCGGCAGATATAGGTAAGGTGGCAGTACTTTCCTGGACAAACACTTTCACAATGAGCTCTACTGCTATTAAAATATCCATAGCAGTTACAATGCCACTCAGGGTACGTATTCTAGAACTCTAATTCAATGCTCAAGTCAGGATTGCATTGGCAACACAAGCACTGGAAATACGACCCTAATGGCAGGGACTTGAGTATGATTTCTAGTGCTTTGAATCATACTCAAGTCCTGACTTAAGCATTGAGTAGAGTTCTAGAATACGACCCTCAGAGTCTTAGCAAAGGTCTGAGAGGCCCCTGTGTCCGTCACCCCGAGACTAAGTTGACAAGTCCCATGTGCCTGTAATTTCACCAGCAGCGTGTTATGAATGAATAAAATTTAGTAAAAAAAAAAACCAACGTTTCGGGCTCTTACAGGTCTCGCGGTCATGGTTAACTGAAAAAGAAATGTACGCGATTTAAAATCACGAAAATCTGAGAACTCCATAAATAAGTGCTATTAAGTATTTTCTCGTAAATAGAATCGTAATTTCATACTAGCTCCTATTACTTACATCTATTTTTAACCGATTTCAAAAAAGAAGGATGTTCTCAATTAGACTAAGTTTTTTCTATGTTACGCAATTTTGACGATTCTTTTTTTTGTTGGAAAGGGGATACCTCAGTAGTGGTCCCACTTAAATTTTAAGTAAATATTCCACTTCTAAGGGTGGCTAACTAGGGGATGAATGACTTTTGAAGTTGGTTTTTTTAGTACTCTGTACTGAGATTATTAAAAGCAATTACTATTATATTATTAATTTAAATAATTAAATTATGGGTGCTACCGTTGGCTTGTTGTTCACTCGGTAGTCTCTCAACACAACATATTAAAAAATATTATGTAAAAAATGTAGCCAAGTCCCGCATCCCCTTGTTGTACAATGTTGTGACATCTAAATGTCGAAAATTTGATACCTCTCTCTATTATACTATTTAGTCCAATGATCATACTAATGAAAAAGTTTTATGCCAGTTGGAAAATTAAACAAGAAAAATACAAAAAAAATCATAAATCATTTATTTAAAAATTATACAAAACACAATTATCTATAACCGTTACAATAAGTGCGAAATGTTTTGGCGCATTTTTGTCAAAATACCTAATTCAATTGTTCATTAAACACAAAAAATTAATAGCTAATACATGAAAATGATTTGGAAATTTTAGCATCCGTACAACGATACTAGGCCCCTTCGTCCAAAAGCAGATTAAAACTTTCAAGAATTCAATTGAACTAATGTACTTAGACAAATATGCGCAAAAGAATCCCCATCATAGACTACTTAACCATATATTGGACCATATTTTCCACCTACACTTAACTAAGTACCATGATCCCTGATAAGTCCTAAAAAAGGTGGTAGTGATTAAAATGGAGGAGAAAAATTCCTTGCAAAATGTTGGAAAGCGATAGACCATGTCAAGTAAAACCGACGCTGCCATGTATCCTTTTAAAGTTAGTTGTGTAGTTCGATTAAAAATAAAAAAAATAATCTTTAGCTACCAAAATCCAGAAAAATCGTTTCATTTAGCTACCAAGTTTAAGGAGCAGCATTAAAAAATATATAAAGCTCTTTGAACCACTACCACACTATTATTCCAATTATACCTAACACATAAGGCTGTTTGACATGGAAAGGCAAGCCTTGATGGCAAGATAAGAAATGAGCAAATAAATCTTTCAAGGCGTGAGAAGATCATATAAACTGGTTGGTTCGAAATCATAATATGAAGTAATATTTTACACATTTAAAACGACCCCTGCCAAATAAGTCCACCAGGGACACTTTTATTATTATTGAATGAAGAAAGAATTCAGTACTAACAAGCATAATAAATTTCCATAAAATTTGTGGATTATTATTTAAAATTCAATTATCAAAATAATCATTGTTATATTTGAATTTTTGAATTGTATGAATTACATAAATATGAATTTTGTTCAAAACCATAAATGTCAGATCTCACTAACTTAATGTTGTGACCAATTACAATTAATTTTTAACTATAGATAGGTGTACATTAATAATATGAAAAATCTCTATGTATAATAATAATGTATAGATCAGTAAATAATATAAGGCACTATATACATAAGAATACATTATGTCATTGTTTTCTGTAAGTATTTGTTGTTTTAACAGAACGAGGAACAGAAATGACAAACCACTACAACTTATCGGAACAAACGTCAACACATATATTTTATCACACAACTATCACATTTCTTCAAAATGAATCTGTTCATGGAACTTTGGGGTGCACTATAATGCACCCATGAAAGATATTCAAAGGCACTAAAGAATTATAATTGTCATGATTTTTTAAATCGAATATGAGCCAAGTTCATTTTTTGGAAATAATTGATTTTGGGGTCCGAAGTAAATAATACACTTCCGGACACATAATTCGAGCCACCACGCATTTTCAGTATTAAGTTCCGTAAGCTCAAACAATGTTCGATTGATCGAAAACTATTATGCAATTAAACATCTTTTCCATAAGTACTTGTTGGTAATTTGGATTTGCAAAACCGGGGAAAACTATTTCTTTTTTGATCGTAACACTATTTTTGCATTCTAGCCCTTTAAGACAAAGGTGCGAGGTGGCTAGATTTATGTGTCCGGGAGTGTATTAATAAAGTGATTTATTTCTGAAGACAATTTCTTGAATGTTTCATCTCAATCCTATATTTTCAATTGAACTCAAATAAGTCAGTCTCTAGCCGACGTGCTGTCCAACAATATTACTTAATCAGCCAACATATGGGTCAGTGAACGCCATTCTTTATTCGAATGATTACGACATCTATCACAATAACTGCGCGATATTAATTTACTAATTAAAAAAAAATTGGGACTTTATATCAACAACTATCTTTGATATCTTTTGGGTGCTTTTAAGATAAAAGTTAGATACTTGTAGACAAGCACTAAACCTGTTATTAAAACGCAAAGAAAAAATCCTTAGATCCGACTGGGGTTCGAATAAACGACTCGTTTGAAGTGCAGTGGGATCGAAGGAATTTTTCCTCGTGTTTCTTCGATCTTTATATTAATAGTAGAGTATTTTTACATGACATGACATAATTAAATAAACACTAAACCTGACAAATGTAGATATAGCAAATGAAAACCGTATATGGTCGATGTAAGGCTTAATTTCAAGGAAGAATTTTAACTGTCTGTATGCATTGTAAACAATTGCATTTAGCGTACAATTGAGTATATCGTAGAACAAAGGCCTATGTGCAAGACTGCTTATCCTCAGAAGAACAATGTACATTTCGTTCGTTGTCCTTCGCTGTGGATATCAGATCGACCGGTGTTCGGTTTTAAATGTCCGAAACGTAATGAGATATAAAAATTATGTAAACGCCTATAGATAGGCCTTATTTTATAAATAGCGAGATTGTGTATTTCTATTTTCGCTCTATATTCACATCAGATTCTGTTCTTCGGATGAGTCCATATTAAAAACTTAAAAACTATAAAAATCCTTTTTTGTATTTAGTGTCATTCAATATTATTTTACATTTGCTATAATAAAGGTTTTTTCTAATACATTCATCAATTCATATAATGTTTGTTATAGTTGTCGAATCAAAGCCCAAAGCATCATAGAAGCTAAAGACCAGTTTATCTAGTGGACTTGAGTTTCCAGCGCAGGAAGAGGAAGGCGGCCACTCTGAGGACCACGAAGATGAGGCATAAAGCTGCGATGTCCAGGGTGATATCTGCGTCCTGCATGTCCAGCTCTTCCAGTGTTGTTTGAGGGTTTTTGAAGTGGCAATATGTCTAAAACAAGAAATTAATAAAGACTTTCCTGAAGTGTAAACATACTACCAGAACAACGATATCTTCGTAATTCTTCGCTATGGTCTTCGGTTCCATCGACAATCGTAATCGAGACATCTGGCTAATGAGTAACGGTCCCATAATCGGATGCTTATTTACCTATAATTCGATTGCTAGCTAACAAGACATGCGCTTTTCGATGGAAAAAATCCCGCGATACCGGGATTGACGAAACGACATTTTGTGTAAATTATGTATTTTAAATTAATTTTATCACATATTATATTGAAAGCGAAAAGTATAAAAAAACTTTAGACATCAAAAAAAAATTTGTATTTTTTTTAAGGACTTTTAAGGTAAGGCAAACTGCACTTAGAGAACTGGAAGAAGATCGCACACGACACGGCCGCGCTGGTGCCAACTCGTAACGGAGTACTAAGACGATATGAATTGAATGTATGTATAGGTATATTTGATTGCTATTTTCATGTACGTACAAAAACTATTTAATTGTGATTTTTTTTAATGCACAAAAATGGCATCCAATTATAAAATAATTATAACTATAATAAATATTGTAGAAAATTTATTTAATATTGTAGAAATAAAAATTAAATGCCGGTGGTATACCACTTTAGCGCTGATAGACTTAATTAGCATGCGAGTGCACTATTTCTTTTTTTATTAAACAGCCAATAAATAAGCTACGCATATATTATTTTTTAATTATGTGCATTATTACACTTCGCCGTTGAAACGAGCCCTTTAAATTTGAAACCTAAATTTCATATTTTAATAATACGTGTTTTGATTCATAGTAAATAATTTTGACTTATGTAAAGATAAGTTGTCTACCATTCGGGGTCCCGCATTGGAAACCTAAAGCTTAGTGCGGGGGCCACCGCTAATTTGTGCCGTGGTCTGTAAAATTCGGCTTAGTTAATATTAAGTGTAAAGCGCACACAATTTTTTTTTTAATAAACTTTATTTTTTAGCCGACTTAAAAAATGAGGAAGTTCTCAATTGGACTATTTTTTTTTTGTATGTATGTTACGCGATAACCCCAAACCGATTTAGGTGATACTTTTTTGTTGGAAAGAGTAGTAGTCCCATTTAAATTTGAAGAAAATATTCCACCTCTAAGGGTGGCAAACTAGGGGATGAAAGACTTTTGAGGTCGGTTTTTTAGTACTCTGTACTGAGAATATTTCATTTTCATATTGTAAAATTACGTACCTGATGACACTGCAACTTGTGTCTATCGAAAGAGTAAGTAGCGAGTGCAGTGCCTTCAAACCCGTATCTGATGTAAGAGAGATACGTGATCCAGCGCAGGTATACAGGTATGGCGTTGAAAGAAACGAAGAAACCACTGAACAGCAGAAACGGCACTGACATTACTGGCGCTAGGAACACGCCGTTCTGCAAAAAAGAATGTCACTTTATGGCTGTACTAAAAACCAAATCGAATGGACTTTTGTTTCACAAAAAAAAATTGTCACAATGATGACGCCGCAAGAATTCTTTTTAACCGACTTTAAAAAAAGGAGGAGGTTCTCAATTCGACGGTATGTTGTTTTTTTTTTGTATGTATGTTACGCGATAACTCCGGTATTTGTGAACCGATTTTCATGATTCTTTTCTTGTTGGAAAGAGGGTACCTCCATAATGGTACCATTTAATTTTGAAGAAAATCATCCTTCATGTTCACGCATGAAGATTTTTTTTTTATAAATAGCACCTAAATTTTATTATAAGCAGCAATTATTTTAATGGTTGAATTTGCTATTCTCCAATTCAAGGCGTTTTTCACTCTTAATACACTTTGAGTAATGAGAACCGATTTTTATTATCTCCTGTGTCAAGTCCCGTATAGTGGCGAACTAGGCGATGAATCCGGGTTTGCGCACTTTCCGGTAACTGATTTCAATAAAACTTGGTAATTATATGTAATTCCACGTACTTTTGAGGTCGGTTTTTTTTAGTACTCTGTACTGAGATTATACTGTGACGGGACAAACAAGTCGTATGCCTGGTGGTAAGCGACGCGCCTATCCATAACAGTTGCAGTGCCACTTAAGAGCTTTTAATAACAAAGTTCTTAGGGGCACTGCTACTGTGTCCGTCACCATGTGACATATTAAGTTGACAAGTACTATTATGTGCCTGTAATTTCACCAGCTCCCTTCCAAACCGGAACGCAGTAATGTTCAATTACTGCTTGGCGGCGGAAATAGGTAAGGTCTTTAGAATTTAATAGCAGTAGAGATCCTTCTGAAAGAGTACGTCAAGTACTGCCACCTTACATGGGCATTACCGCGTTTCGGTTTTGAAGGGTAAGGGTGCTGGTGGAATTACAGGCACATAGGATTTGTGTACTTGTCTCAAATCATCTTTATGATTTAAAGCTCTGAGTGGCACTACAGTCGTTATACATAGACAGGTGTGTCGCCTACAACCAGACGCACGACTTGTTCGTCCTGTTACTTGCGATCATAAAAAAATAAAATAAAAAATAGTTTCCTTCAATACAGGATTCGTTGTCCAACCACGGACTCAGTAATTTCTACCACATGCATGCATGAATGAAAGTATTATAAAGTATTTTATAAATATGTACCTGCACATTCATGGCAGCGCCGACAACAAGCCCGACGCTCTGCGCCACGAACGAAATGAGAAGGCACGAGGACAGGAACATGGCGAACCGGAACCACACGAGGGGTTGTGACGTCAGCAGGTACACTATCACCACGTAGATTATGCAGAATATCGCCTATAATCAGAACTGAGTGTCATAACGGAAACAGGTGTCAAAGGTAAATCTTAGCGGAAACGGATGCGGAAGCAGAAGTATAAATGCTATAGAGATCTTACGGAAGAATTTCATTTAAAATAAAACAAAACTGCTAATAAACGTTTGCCACGTCGCCGACTGATCCGCGTGCGCGATTCATACGTCGCAAACATTGAAAACTTTCGATTAAAGTGCCGTTACAAAAGTTGTGGAAGCAGAAACGGACACAGATGTGAAAAAGCGTGCCGAAGCAGATGCAGAGATCTGTTGCAGGATTACAGTAATTACCATAGAGTCTAGGAAAATACTTCAAAAAGGTTAAGGTTTTAATACGAAACTGCGGACATATTTGCTTGCATTGCATTAAGTAATTTTAATGTACATTAGAAGTTTAGCGCTTTTGCCAATGTAGCCGAGTCTAAGAAGATTAAAATGAACACTTACTTGGAAAGGTATATCAGACACGGTGATAGCGAGGTAGTAAGAACGCAGAGAATACCATCTATTAAAATGCTCTTTAACTAACACAGGCATCTCGAGAGGAACTGGAAATGAAAACATTAATTATTATTTCATGAATAAAAGCGTTGTTGCAAATACTTTAGGCTAAAGGTTAATTTATACAGATTCCAGATTCCCTGCTTAGCTATTGCAGGTAGTCTCGATCTGTGACATTTGAAATAATTTCTGTAAATGATAAATGTATACAATTTGTTTTTATTTTCAAAGAGCCACCACCATCAGTTTTGACTCATTTTACTCCGGGAAATCTGGCTAACGAATGAATAGATAGTTCAATCAATGTGACGGTTCAAGTGTATTTTTTTACCATGAAATAATTATTATAGTTTGCGCTTAATATAATAAAAATAGTAGTAAAATTTACAGCTTATTTAGGCATACACAAGATGCGTCCGAAACAATTACTGCCAAATAAGCAATACTTGACCAAATGAAAAGACGCGTGATGCGAATGAAGCTTCATACTGGATACTTGTCTTGTAATATTGTCGAATATTACTTATTTGACAGAATTGTTTCGGATGGATGTCGTACGGAGATCGAGAGTAGCCCCCCCTTACACAGTGTAATAGGCACCTCTTGATTAAAAAATGCAAACAATTTTCATGAATTATTACCAAATCCCTTTAATCTATATTAAGTTATTCTAATTATTAATACAAAGATAAGTACTCAGAAAAAAATCCTTCGATCCAGCCGGATCCAAACCGATGTCTTCTAGCATACCGTGCCAGAAGCTTTACCAACTAAGCCACGGAACGAACCAGCAGAGTAGCGCCATCTATGAGCAATCTATGATATTTCGTAACCCAGTAAGATACCTTTACAGCTACCAGCCCCGGCTAGAGATGTCGTTATTCACTGTATTTAAATTTTTATTGATCGAATGAACTTTTTCTGAGTGTTCGATCTTTGTATTAATAGTTATAACAAACTAGTGGAGTACTTTCACAAAAATTTTGATAAATTTATTTATTTTTACATTTTAGGAAAATTCACGGACAAATAATACAATTATAGTATACTTAAATATGATTAATCCAATGCCATTTACGAATTTCCACCAACATTAATACATAAATGAAACTATGTTTTCGAATCTAAAATTAAATCACGTTGTCGATCCGACATCCGACCGAAACAATTACTGTCAAATGAGTAATACTCGACTCATCGAGTATATAACCAGAAATAGAGACGAAATGTCATTTAATTTGTTTGAAAACTATTCTGCCATATCATTACCGTGACAACTGCGCTCCGATTGGCTAGCCCGAGTTCGAAATAATTGACGGGTGTCGTCCTTTGTTTCACTTCAAATCGACCAGTTAACTTGAGCTTTGCTATAATGGACGAAAACTGCAAAATTACATATTTCATATTTAATTACCGATGAAACGTGATTCCGTTTATTTTGTAACTAGATGTTTTGCTGTTTTTCCCACACCACCGAATAGAACAGCACGGCATTGTTAGAGATATTATCTTTATTACAATAAATACAAAATATTTTATGGAATATACGGAGACGTACACACAGGTCAGTAGTTGGCCTGTCTATATTTTAGTGCAAACCAGAGTTGATATTTATAAGAGCTGTATCGCTAATGTGTTACCAGGAATATATGGCCCTTATTTCGTCTCAATTTCTGGTTATATACTCGATGACTCGACTATATCAATCAAACTCCCACGAGACCGAACAATAAATATATCGCACACCTCATGGAAGCATGGCATAAATGGAGTTACGTTAAACTTGTTCATTGTTCCATTAGATACAGAAAAATATAACCCACATCCTCTCCAATTCATGTACGTCTTTCTACAATATCAGTCGATAGAGTTACTAGAATTGGAGAGGATGTGCGTTATATTTTTCTGTATCCAATGAAGAATGAACATGTTTGACGTAACTTCACTTATGCCATTCTTCCATGAGCGGTACGATATCTCTATAAATCAACGTATTTCTCTCTACCACTTACGCTTATGTCTATCTTAATAATATGAGATGGCAACACTGCCCGGATCTACTAGGAGACTATATCTATAGTCTACTTATTCTTCAATATCGACTTGAAATTAAAATTAATATACTTACAACTGAGAATAGTGATGGTCATCGAAGTGTACATGAGGAAAAGCATGTTGAAGAAGAGGAATCCAAGATTGGAGAGCACTTTTGATCCGTCGTCGCCGATGTCGTAGTACAGAGCCCCGATCAGGAATCCGACGAGTACGTGGGCAAACAAACGCAGGTACATGAGCGTCTGGAAAGATATAAGAAAATTTTAAACATTACTCTGTACTTAGAAATAGACAAACTCGACTTTCAGGTGTGTTACCTTAACGATAGGAAAACCCATGAACGTGTGAAACAATGGTTGTCTTGACTTGACTCCTATTTATATACAGGATTATTTTGGAAATATTAATATCTTAAACAACAACTTTTGTTCCATAACTTTTTACAAAACATATAAAATTTACCAAAAATAAACTTTTAAGTTTTTGTAGTACTGTCTGACAGTTTTTATTAGATCTGTATTTGGTAGAATAAATTCTAACGTGCAAGCGTCCTCCGCGATGAATCCCACCCCCATCCTGCATGAGCCGCGACGCCAAAGCTTGTAATATACATATGTAATTGGAGCCTAACGATATCTCATGATAACAGTCACTAAAGAATACTTATTATTAAGTCGCAGCAAGACTCCGTGCTGGTAATTCATCAATTAGTATCAATACAAAGATTGAACACAAAGGAAAATTCCTTTGATCTGATTGAACTCGGAACTAATTTTAATTATTTTCTGCATAAAAATTTACAATTTTTTTTTACAATCCATCATGGCGTGTTTGCTTTTTACAACATTTTATATCGAGTTGTATTGTCTATGGAAAAATAGCTAGCTGGCTATCTGTTGATTAAAAAAAAAAAACAAAAACCATGATTGTTGTGAACCATATTTATCATACAAGAAATAAACATCGCAAACGTGACGAAAAACATTGTATCACGGACGGTAAAACAATACCAACCTAGAATTATTAAAAATAGATTCTAATACACTCTCGTTAGTAATTTCTTAATTATCGTCCTTTAGTACACAATGTACTATTTACTTACTATTACAGAACTCTTCGTACAAATGCCTACTGGTAGTAGAGTAATTGCAAGATACACATATAAAACAACAACAGTAGGTACAACAATTGCGATATTTCAAATGGAGTTTCTATCCACTCTATGTGTATTACTTCCTTGAAGTGTAGTTAACCGACTTCAAAAAAGGAAGGTTCTCTGTTCGAATACATTTTTTTGTGCGTTTGTGAACCGATTTAAAATTAATTTTTTCTTGGAAATGGAGTACAACTCAATAGTGGTCATTGAAATTTGAAAAAATATTCCGCCTCTAAGGGTGGCAAATTAGGGGATAAATCCAGTTTATTGGATTTCATCCATTTTCCATTAACCGATTTCAATTAAACTTGAGAAATAGATATAGTCTGTATTTTTTGAAGTTGGAGTAAAATGACAGTTCATTGTGCAAAAGTGTTGCTCGCTTGCAAGCAGCTAGTGATTGCAGTCGACAAATATTATATCGACTATCGACTGCATATTGGTTACGCTTATGAAATAAATAGTCGAACGTGTTTTATTTGAATCATCATCGGGCTATAATTCGTTCAATTGCAGGGCAAAGGTTCATTTGAATTGTTAATTTTTGAAAATACATACATATACATGCACTAAATTTAGCAAAATGTTTATAAATAATACAAATAGAAGACATATTTTAAAGTTTCCCATTTGAATTTAATATACATAATCAAATCCGCCAGTCGTATAACTTAAAATTGATTACGATACTGATAGACCAATTGTCAAAATAAGAATAAAGAATACAATAACGCAATTAGTAATAATTAGAACGTCGTAACTTTCACAATTCAGATTTTTTTGGCACAATTTTATTTTACAATCTATTGATAAAACTATCGACAACAATTATACATGACTAAATAAAATTTTACGAAAATTGGCAACCCTGCAAATGTCATTGTAGAATATTCCACAAACTTGTGAGATAATGTTTTTTTTTTTATAAAAAGTCATACATTATTAAATATACTGCGTCTATGGCGACCTCTGGTCATAAGTAATAAGAATTGCCTTACCCAGTCTCGTCGACTGAAAAGCAATGTCCTCTTAAGAACCACCCAAAACTGCGTGAGTTCGGAGGTCGCATATCGGCGGGGGGAGCCGCTGTCGCCCAAAAGTGCTACTTCCGCGTTGTCTTGCTTCTCCATAGTTTCCATCTGGACTACTAGAGGCTCGCCTGAAATGTAAATATAAACATGGAATGAGGATTAATATTAAGAGGAAGAGAGATCATTATTTAAATAATAATCCTGCAGTCATACTGTGTACATAAAAATGTAGCAAAAAAAAAGGACTTATGACAATAGAAAAGGGAAACCTAGTACAGGTTTCCCTTGAGTAGCAACAAACCATCCAATAACACAGTAAAATATACATTTTCTTTATTTACTGTACACATAACGTGACCATAGTCCCGCTTTTTAGTTTCGTGTCCCGCTTTGACAAAACAGGACACAAGTGACATTAATAAAACGAAAAATATATAAAGCCAGTCCACCAGACTACACAAGATTAGTTCTTTTTTTAATTTTTGAAAACATTTCGAAACTGTCTTATGCTTTGGTTTTTATTTCTAAAACAATAATAAAGTGACAGGTGTCCCGCTCTGCGGGTATATATTTTTTTATAATATCTAGTAACGCGACGAACAAGTCGTGCGCCTGATGGTAAGCTATACGCCTGTCCATAACAGTTGCAGTGCCACTCTGCCCATCATCACCCTGAGACATAAGTTGACAAGTCCCATGTGCTTGTAATTTCACCAGCACCCTTACCCTTCAAAACCGGAACATAGTAATGTTGACATTACTGCTTGGCGGCAAAAATAGGTAAGATGGCAGTACTATCCTGGAGGAACTCTTTCACAAGGAGCTCTACGTTAGACTCTCTACTCGCTATGCTCTACGTTATATATACATTGACATAGACATAGATGACAGCACTAATGAGCACATAGATACCACGCTGACAGCTTTAAAAATGACAAAACAGTGGAAAAATGGGACAAAAACTGTATTATCTCCAGAACTATCAAATCTAAAATCTAATCTGCCTTTTAGTTGGTTCATCACAACTTTATTCCAAAATATTAAGTACAGACAGCAGCACATCAAGCTACACATGGACGGACTTGTTACGTTGCACTGGAGGTAATATTTGAAACAAAAGTGTATAGCTGGATGTACTGTTGACTACATCAACACATTTGCATTTCTCTAAAAACTCTTAATACAACTTTGGTACTACTAGATGGAGCTAGTTTCGCCGTACTGTGCGTACGAAAACGAAACATTATCCCCATGAATTTAAGATGCAACTTCGTCATGTTTTTAAATGAATTTCAATTTTAATAATAGCTAAAAGCACTTCAAATTTAAAGACGTGTTGAATTTACAAACAAGGAGACATTGATTTGAATAAATACAGGTTTATTTGAAGGTTTCGATTATAAAATGTATGAATTGCCCTTGCTTTAAGTAAACACGGTTTTTTACCAGTGCTCGTGAGACGTGTAGTATTAAAATTATCAATTAAAGTCTTCAAAATAATTGCGAATTTTTGTATTATTAAACGAGTAATAAAGAAATCAACTGTTCACGCACTGTTAACCACAGTCAGTATCAATTGAACAATAGCTCATTATATTTCGTAATGACTATGTTACTATGTCATTACTATACCTTTACTATTATCCTATTGTACAGTCTCGCTTATTGAGCATTTGGGTAGGCAGAGTCCATTTGAGCTACAGATTTCATATGATTTCTTCATTCACATAAACATTTTTGGAGCGAACCAAAGCAGTCGCTACAAAGAGTTTAAAGTTTTTTTTATGATATCAAGTGACAGGACGAACAAGTCGTGCACCTGGTGGTAAGCGACGCGCCTCCAAAAGCAGCTACAGTGCCACTCAGAGCTTTAAATCTTTTTTTTAAATCGCAAAGATCTGAGGGTTACTGCCAGTTCAACAACCATCGTCACGCTGAGACATAAGTTGACAAGTCCCACTTGCTAGTCATTTCACCAGCACCCTTACCCTTCAAAACCGGAGCGCAGCAATGCTTACATTACTGCTTGGCAGCATAAATAGGTCAAAATGAAATAATCTTTATTTGATAGGTAAGCAAATTACACTTGATATCGTCATATTGATTAAACTGTACTCCTCGTTCTTAAGGCAGATTCCCCTGAGAAGAATGAGCAAGAAACTTTAGGGATTGCTCTTTGTAAATATACATTTGAATACGTTTTATAATATTTAAATTAAACATCTTAGGTCGAGAATACCTGAAAGAGGTTAACGGGTCGCTACCACGGATTGTTGTCATCCAAATACGCTGAAGTTGTATAATAATAATAATCTTTAGTATATCGTATGGTATGGTGGCGGTGCCTGTTTCTACTTATAATCTTTCGATGAAATTTAAAACTTAATCATATTTGTTTTGGTGCCTTTTTTGAAACATAATATAATGTTAAGAGTATGATCATTGACTTACAATTATATGGACGTCGGGTCAGCAGTAAAAAGTGT